CTCTGGTAAAGTCACTTTAGCTGGAATAACTGTACTAGAATTTGATGTTTGAAAAACTGCATCATTTCGTTTATTTCCTTGCATATAATATGCAGATTGATCCGAACGCTGCTGTGCATGGTGAGCTTGCGTTTGATATTGTGCTGGTTCGGTGTGCAAGGGTTTTTGCCAAATATTATTAACTATTTGACGAGGTTGCTGCAGATGAATATGTTGGTCGTGTGATGATTTATCCCAATTGGTATATGACATCTCATCAGATTGGCGTTGTCTTGGCAATCCATTGACATTTTGTTGCACATGATCATGCTTCGACGATGTATCAGGTTTAGCCGATCGTTGTTCTGAATTATTATTTTCTTGTGAGTTCTGCTGCGTGTTATTTTTAGAATTTTTAGTTTTTCTTCGTCGTCTCCTATGTACAGGTTTTACAAAATTTTCATCTTGTGTAGAAATTTTAGGTGCAGTTGGTGTAGAAGGTGATTCAATTTCACCCTCACTTTCTTGTGTAGTAACAACAGTTTGATCTTTTTGTGGTCGCTGCACTCTCAATCGTGGTTTTGAATTTTTTTTATGCACTTGTACCAATAAATCATTCGTTGTAGGTATGGATAAAACGTCAAATGTTATAGGATTATTTATCTCGCTATCATTTTGACAAGATCCGTTTCTCGAATTAATTTGCTCTTGCGCAGCTTTTTGACCGTTATGATTTTCAGGAATCCCTTCAATTTCGTAATTAATTTCTTGATGTGTTACAAGAATAGATTGCTCTGATCGAGGGTCTGAAACATTTATCGTCACGGTTGTTTTTGACTCATCTATTTCCGTAGATTGATCGATCGTTTGATCATCGTTAGATGAAGCAGCAGATGGATTATCATCTATAGATGAAGGTACTGGTGTTTTTAAACGAGAATTCGGACGCTTCGAAGCTTTTTTGTATACTCTCGGTGATGCATCATGCATTGGTAACTCGGACGGTGACAAGGATATTGAAGATGATGACGAAATATCTCGTCTGTTTTTTTCGTCCCTAGTTGAAATCGTCACGGAATCTTGTCGTGACCTTGTCCATCCATTGAACATTCTCCGAGTAGCATCCCCTACCATGGATCCAGCCATGTACAATCTAAATTTTTCGCTTAGCTGTTGGGAACTTGGTTTCCAACCGGGCTTGGCCACATGCTTAATAAAATAAATTAAAAAAAAAGTTTTAGTCAAAAAAAATATATATATATATATATATGTGCAAATGCTATAATAAAAAAAATTTTTTTTTAACACAAATTTTCCATTCATGAACTAAACTGTATATGATAAATTATTATTTAATAGTTTATCTATGGATCTTTTACATGAATGTGAAATCTTATTCGTTAAATATCTTCGCATACATAATACTCATTCCCCGGAAAATCTTTCTGCGCATAATAATCGCAAATATAAAATATATACAGTACCTTGTGCACGATTGCTAAAGCGAGCATTAAGATCGTCACGGCGATCAACATGTAGGAAACTGAGGTGAAAGACACTGTAGGGACTTGTATATTAAAAAAATCCCAAACGCCATACACGGATCGATTTGAAGGAACTAGTCCAGAAGGAGACACCGAAGTGACCGACGACGCAACATTGGCTGAATTGGAATTATCTTTTCCAGAAGATACCATTGTACTGTTTGCAGAAGCTGCAGACATATACCGGGCTGGAAATGAAAAAAATAACTTTGTATTGATCTGTTTCTCAAATATAAATAAAATAAAATGGAAAAGTGTTTAAATTGAATTTGGCAAAAAGTAAATATTTCTAGATACAAGAATATGAAAAAAAGAGAGGCATACAAAGTAAGTCATGCACGTTCTCGAGTTCATTGAACGAACGTGCGAAAACTTCAAACTTTTTTTGACAACCTGAAACAACTCCTACTCTTTAGTATCCGATTTATGTAATTTTTGATTTCCTTGATTTCTGGATTCAGTACGACATATGTAATCGCCTGCCAATCACGCTACTCCTACGTGAAAAATACGTAACCACCAAAAATGCTAAATATGGTGATCAAAGAAACGACTGTTAACCACTCTTCGTTGAAAAATAAAAAATTGAATATGACAAGTTATATTGCTTCTAAAGCTTGGCTTTGGTTAGAACTTAATTTTACTCCATAAGCTTTTACTTGCCCGTTCGAAATCTTTTTTCAAAACAAGTAATTATTTGGTAATTTTAACTTTTAAACTTTTACGACTTTTTTACGCACATAACGTTCGATCTGTGACTAGAATCAACCATTACAAATACTGTCTATTGATTTATAATAAGCATATTCGTGCAAACATCGAATATAAACGCTTTTTATCACTTCCTTTAATTACTTTTACTCATTCTGTCTTAAACCCTCTGTTATAGATCCATAATGTTCGGTACGATTTTGTATAGATAATATTGTAGTTTGTGAGTATGGAAATTAGTGAAATAAATCATATTTGAAAATCTCACGATTTGCCTTATCATGAGACTTCTTTTGGCACTTTATGATTAATGAATTTAAAATGAGGCGAGTATGCAGCAAATATGAGAGTGGAGTGATTAAGTTCTTATCTAATAGCTTGTGATAAATTTCTTTAAAACATTTCTATTAAGCATCTTATCTACATATTTATTGAGATACTCATATCTTTGATCGGTGTATTATTCATTACTGCCGATCTTGTTTTCAAGGACTTGATGAAAATTATTGATGGAAGTTAACATGATACATTAACTTTAGATCATCTGGCAATTTTGAAGTTTCTTTAAAATCTATCCTAACGACATATTTTATTAATCAAGCTTAATGTGAGGAAGGTTTAATGAGTGCTTTTTTCAATTCGGATCTTTCTGTCCTTTACTAGTCCGTCTCAAAACTTTCAATTACGTATTGACAATGCTAAAAATTCGAGTTTTTTTTTTTATAATTGGAATCATTTTAACGTTTGATTTAATTACTGTATCGATATATATTTTGACATTTATAATCCCTGAATAAAAAAATATGATCTTTAGTTTTTTGATTAATAATTAAATCGTCAAAAGAATGGTATCATTTTCACATTCATCATAATTAATTTAGTTAGTTTAGATATCATATCGATATAATTAAACACAACATATAGGGGTGTGCGATATTAAATGATCAACAAATATTCATATCGGATTTTTTATGGTTTCTTTTTCATTTATCGTTATACAGGTATATGGAGTGTTATCTATAAAATACTTTTTTTAAAAAAAATAAGTTTTTTCGATTTATATATTTGGCAAAAAAATTTACCAAATTATAAAACCAAATTATATAATAAGAAGGTCCGTGTAGAGTGTGATTTGACTTTGGTGAGCTTGAGTAAAATATTTTTGTTTTTTTTAAAAGAATTAATAATTTGTAGAATATACCAGTTTTTGTTTTGGATATATTTGGGAGAAGGAGAAGATAATAGGTTTTTAATTGCTAATGAGCTATCTAAGTATATAATAATAAGAGAATTTATTGGAATAGTAAGAAGAAGAAAATTTATTAGAATAGTAAAAAGAAGAGTAATAATTGATATTAGTTTAATATAAATAGTGTTAAAGTAAGGAAAGGTAGCTATATTAAACAATAGAAATACTATAAACTGCTATATAAATGATCTAGATTTCTTTCATTTTACCAAAAAAATTAATTAATAAAAAAAAAATAATAATTAGAAAAAAATAGATTTATCTTGTACAAGTATTGGCTTTTTTAATACAACATAAGTAATATAAGACATGGAAGAAGGTAGAGTTGGAGGCATAGAAAATTTTTTGAACATGCCTAGGAGAGCATGCCTTTGTTGAGAGTATACTTCTCTCTGCTTCAGGTATACCTTCTTAAGATATCATAATTGATTAATCTAACTTATATCAAATCAACTATGATAATTAACTAATTAAATCAATAAAACTTTATATGTAAAGTTTTTCTATATAAAAGAGTAGAGGTATACCTTTTAGCCAAAGAGCATGTCCTAGATATGTCTTCTTAGATATGCTTCTGAAGTATGCTTTAAGACATTATATTTCTAATCTTAGAAGAGAAGCTCTCAATAATATCCAAGTGAATATTTTTTTCTTTCTAGTACTAGGTCTTTGAATGAACATCCTTTGCATGGAGTCAGTTTGCTACTTGCTATGATGATGTAGTGTACTAATATTGCTTTTGTGCTATTATAGCTTGATATTTTTTTATACTTAAGCTTTGGTATAATTGCCTATTTTTTATATTGTGGGTGCTATTTTGTTAGTGTATATAGATTTGGAGTGACAAATCTCAGTGAAGGGTTCATAAAGGAAGTGATTAAGTCTACAACTTTGTTGAACCATTTTGGTTCACATCCTCTTGGTATTTTGTTAGAGTTATTGTGCATCTGTTTCTAATTGAGGGTCTCTGTATTGTTGTAGTTTAAGATTTGTTTGATATCAAAGATATTACACTTCGTTAATTTGGTTTTTAAGTAATGTGCATTCTGTTGTGTTCCTAATACTATATTTATTGAAGTACTAGATATTTTCAGTGGAATTGGCCATGGATTAGTATGTCTTATTAATTGCAACTGAAATGAGTGTAGTGTATATATTGCTTATACTATATATAATTGGTATTGCTTCGTAGAGAATATAGAGAGATATTTGAATATTGATAAATTTGTTGCTGCAGCATTCTGTAGTTGTTGTAATCTACTTTTTAGTATTGATTTATGAAAATTAATGGAATTAATTTCTCTTGTTAAGTTTGTATATAAGTGTAGTTGTTGTTGCTGTTCTATTGATTTAGTGTATAAATATTAGGATGCATTAGAAATGTATTTGGAATCGAGCGTGCTATTAACGCTTTATTTCTAACTAGTTCTGTATATGATTTTGTTAATGCAGCAAGTTGATTATTTATTAGATAGCATAAATTAAGTCAATATAGTAGACGAGGGATTAGTATGCTATTGATTATGTAAATTGCTTGTTTTTCTGTAATCTTTGCCTATTTTAGTTTTTGGAAATTTGTCTTGCTTCCTGTAAGATTAACTCCTGTGCAGGTTTATATGTAGGATCGTCTATAAACCAAGTTCCTAAATATTTAAACACTGTGCCTGCATGGCTTTGTAGAACTAATTTTTCACGAAAAGTGATAGCTTGATCTTCACTCTCTGTGTTTGTATAGAAGACTGATTTTAGCAGATTAACTTGGATATTGTGTAGGGTATAGAAAGAGTCTGCTGTATCTAGTATGTATAGGAGGTTTTTCTTGTTGTGTGCTATCTATACTGAGTCGTCCATATATGCCATTACAGGTATATTTATATTTAGAATTTCTTCTATATGCTTTGTTGTTAACTTGTATCCTCTGTGTTCTGCATTTACTCAACTTATTAGGTGGTCATAGAATATTCTCCAAAGGATAGGTGAGATAGTTTCCCCTTGATCGATCTCATCTCTAACGTTATATTTGTTTATAAGCCTATGATCTGTAATTACTTGATTTGTACAGTTAGTAAATAGAGAAGTTATAATTGAGATAAATTTTTCTGGTAAGCAAATACACTCTATTGCTTTTGCAAGAGTTGGTATGTAAACTGTGTCATATGCCTTCGACATATCCTGTAGTACCATCCATAATTCTTTATCATTTTCTGATACATCTTTGAATATATGATTCAATGTATTGATATTGTTATAAGTCGATTGGTATGGTAGTGCTGCAGAGTTACATAGCAAAAGGATTTCATGCTGTGCTAGCTTGGTGATAAGACAGACTGTTAAGATCTTTGTAAAAAGTTTTCGAGTATGCTCAATTAGTGTTATAGATCTAGTATAGCTCAAATTATTGTTGTATTGTGAATGCTTTGGGACTGGCCAAATATTTGAATTTAACCATGTTTTAGGTACACTTTTCAATTGTAGACAGGCATTCATGATATTTAGCAAAGATAATATTGTAATTTCTGGAAGTTGTCGAAGTATTTCATTTGATATTTGTGAAGGCTCAGGAGCCTTATTATATGATAATACTTTGATTACCTCTTGAAGTTTCTCAATCATAATTTTTGTTATAAGGTTATTATAAATAGAGGGTGATAAACTCTCTATTGGTTTGTAATACTTCTCCCATAAGTGTCAAAGATTACTGTTAGGTAGATTATATCTTGTCCAATTTTCAAAATATTTACTCATATATTCTTTTATATCTCTTGGTTCTGTAATTATTTCATCTGCTGTAATAATTCTCTGGAAGTCTACTTTTTCTTTTTTCTTTTTAAGGATACTA